CAGCACCAGAACCCGCTGACCCGGTCCACCACCGCCTGCAGCACCAGAACCCGCTGACCCGGTCCACCAACGCCTGCAGCACCAGAACCCGCTGACCCGGTCCACCACCGCCTGCAGCACCAGAACCTGCTGGTCTACCTGAGCAGCAGGTGAGCACGGTCACATGATCAGCTGCGTCTGCAGTTTCAGGATGGAGGCAAAACAGGAGAAGCCGTCCTTGTTCTGCCAGAGGTGAACTCGGGTCGTCCTGCTGGACCAGAACTTCTGCTGGTCTGGAGGTTTAGAATCCTGATCCGGATTCTTTTCTGGATTAACTTTAATCTCAGATCCACTGAACCAAAACCAGCAATGATGGGATTAAATCCAGAGAACCGAACATCTGGACACCATGCAGCTGGACTCTAAGGGTGGAGAGGGTGGAGTCTAGTGCTGAACTGAGGACTAATGAGGTTCTTCTTGACTCAAACTGTCGGTTCTGGCAAACATCCTCGGAACCGCCTGCAGAGATCCAGAACCTTTGGACCGAACAAAACATTCAGACCCAAACATGCAGCAAAACTTTCTGCATCAGAACCGGTGAAGTTCTACTGACACCTCGGAACCATGACTAAGCACGCTCACACTGAGGCTCAGCAGATTTCTATCAGTTACCATGGCAACCCTTATCAGGCTCTTCTAGTCAGACCGCCTTAATGGAACATTTTAGATTTCACAATCCGCCTGGTCTGGAGGTGGAAGCAGCAGAAATCAGTCGGATCCAGCGAACCAGCCTTTGTTCTCAAATTCCACATTTTCTCTTTATCAAGCTTCTCCGCTGCGACAGAAACAGAATCACATCCGTTTCCAGCTGAATCCGAATCTCCTGCAGACTGTGATGTTTTCGTCTTCTCTCATGTTCGCTGAACAGGCGTCTAATCCCGTCAAACCACAGGAATTTGCTCCCGTTTCACTGCAGCGAAGCGGCGGCGCTGCATCGACAGGAGCTTCGGAAAAGTTCCGACATATCTCAGGATTTTAAAGATTAAAGTTCGTTTAACACTCGGAACCTTTGCCGAATTAAAGTAATGTTGTCCTTGGTCAGAAAATAATCATTATATTCATCAGGAGGTTATTTGTTTGACTTCTTAAATCCTTTATTTTTTAAATCACATTTACTTATGGAGGTTCTCTACTGAGCATCCGGAGCCCCACCTACCAGCTCCGCTTCTTTGGGGCTGAGATTCCGAGCAGGTTCCGTCCGTGGTTCTGACCCAGTGGGGTCCGTGGTTCTGACCCAGTGGGATTCGTGGTTCTGACCCAGTGGGATACGTGGTTCTGACCCAGTGGGATTCGTGGTTCTGACCCAGTGGGAAGCGGATCCACATGAATCAACAGCTGGACTGAACCGCGCGCGCCCCGGACACCCCAGAGACCCGGACCCACGCTGCGGACCCACTCCCACGACACGGGTGGTGTAACACAACAGGTAGACTCACCTGAGCAGAGGTTCATGAAGAGAGTGGGGGATCCACGGACACTCCACGGAGGCTGGAAACTCAAACTAAAGTGTTTCCTCAAAGTCCGAGCGCGGCTGTCACTGCGCATGCGCCTCATTCAAACCCACAGCAGAGCTCTGAGGAGGTTCTGGGACATAAAACTGGTTCTGGGACATAAAACTGGTTCTGAGGGTTCCTGGACTAGATCCAGAACCAGAACCAGAACCAGAACCGCGGCACCTTCCAACAGGTTCCAGGATTTTAATGTTTGCTAAAAACAAACTTTTGGTTCCTAAAGAGTCAGCCAGCAGAGGGCGCCAGAGGTCCCCCCCCCCCCCCCCCTCAATTAAATCAGGTTTGGTTTCATTGCAGGAAAACAAACATGAGCTGTTTACCTGAGGAGCAGCAGGTGGTTCAGGTGTGTCTGTGTCCCTCCACCTGCTTCTACATCCACTGCTCTCCTCTGGGAGTCATTACTGGGAATTAAAGAGTTAAAACCAAAGAAGAAAAACCCTCAGCTGCTCCAGAGATCAAAGCTTCAGCTTCATCCTACAGGGAAACACTAAAATCCTGCAGACCAGCACCATGGATGGGCAGAAAACCCAGATAACCAGTTAATGTCTGATAAAACTGATAATTTAATGTCCTGCAACTGAATGCACCTCTGAAACAAACTGCTTTCCTGGTTCTGACTCCTCCTGGTCTCCTCTGACTCCTCCTGGTCTCCTCTGACTCCTCCTGCCGTCTCCTCTAAGCTTCACTCTTATCACTGTTTAAGCTGCAGCACAGCTGACCTACTTTAACACCTGCTGGACTGAAACAAGCTGAGCAACATCTCCTCAAAGGAACACAAACAGCACCACTGTTGTGCAAACGCTGCAGTTGCACCTCAGCTGAACAACAGAAAGTTTCACAACATGAACCAACATCTGACTGGGAACGAGTCTCAGCCTGACTGGGAATGAGTCTCAGCCTGACTGGGAATGAGTCTCAGCCTGACTGGGAATGAGTCTCAGCCTGACTGGGAATGAGTCTCAGCCTGACTGGGAACGAGTCTCAGCCTGTCTGGGAACAAAGACACCAACACAGAGATCTGATCACTGAAACCACTTTTCTGCTGACTTTTCAAAATAAAGCCTCCAGAGTCAGTGAGAGAAACCTGCTGATCGATGGAAAGAGGAGCGGAAGCTCTAAATACTGGAAGCAAACAGTAAAGAAATAATAAAAACTGAACATCTTCCAGGCTTTTATTGTGTCAGAGGGACCCCTGCCTGGGGGCCTGGATCTCCAGCTACCTCACAGGATGTCAGACTCAAATTCTAAAAAAAATAAATAAAATAAAATCAATCCACTGGACTTTGTTTCCAAGTTTGAAGACGTTTCTCTTCCATCCAGGAAGATTT